CTCCTAGAACCCATATGAAGATCCCTTCAAAGGAACCCCACATTGAGGCCCCTATACTACTCTTCGAAAGCGAGAAGCTACTCGATTTTCTTTTCACCAGAGCAGTTTCACTGAGAACACGGCTGGCCGTGGATCGAGCCACCCCGCCCTTCACATGGAGTCTACCCTAACCCTGAAACCTAAGTTCGAAAAAAAAACCCAAGACCCTAAACCTTAAAGCAGAAAAAAGGAGTGTAAGCGTTTGGTGAAGTTGAAAGGCACCCTCCAGTTTAAAGGTCGGCGGATTATGGTTATTGATTTGCAATGTAGGGCCTGAGGTTAGTCTTGTTTGGTGGAGTTCAGAATTACTGTCGGCTGGCTTGGGAAAGTGGGTTTGAGAAGTGGTACAAGTGTAACTACAGGCTCGATTAGGCTCATCGGGTTCTATAACCCATGGGAAAGAGATACTGCCACCGTTGGTCCTGGTCCATCGGGGCCACAGACAGCAGGCCAAAAACCCGCTCCATCCTCAGCCCTCAACCAGAATTGTCAATCCCGGGCGGCGCAGATCCACGAGGAGCCAACCGTCAACGGGCGGTGGGACGTTGGGTAAGGCATCAGCGGTTATTTGGCTCCATTTGCTCAGGGAGCGGGTTTGGGGCGTTGAAGGTCTAGAGGGTTTCGGGATCTGCGACGCTGCTATGAAACGGCATGCAGTTTGGGACAATGAGGTTGTGTCAGGGTTCCTCATCATTGCTGCAGTTGAATTTCGCATTTGAGATGAGCCGCTCTGGGCTATGTGTGCGCATCTACCTTTGCTCACTCTGGTGACTCAGAGGCAACTTGAGACATCGCCAGTATGTAGCGGTCTACTCCCACGAACCACTGCCCGCGGCGGGCAGAGGCGGGACGGACAGAGTCTCTGTGTGTACAGCAGCAGCCATTCCGCAGTATTGTTGTAGCAGCTAAAATCGGTGCTATAGGAGTAGCAGTGGTGTCATACCCTTGCTGGTGGTGATGGAGGTGGCAACAACACGCGCTAGAAAGCACAGAAGAACGGTCATTGTCACTGTTACTAACAAGTCTTGCAGATGAGACTGAATACCCAAGAAGAGCTTTGGGATTCACCACTTGTGCAAGTTTGTTCCGCCGGGTACCTATCATGCATGAGATCGTAGTAGTGGCTTAGTACTGGCCGTGTATAGGGCCACCAACGTTGACACAAGACTACACAGCTTGTTTTTCGGACCCACGCAAACGTGTTCAACTTCAAAGCTGTTGTTCAAGATGCGTGCTAAGCAGTGGCAGCAACAGCATCAGGAGTCACAGTAGTTGTCGCCGCAATCGTTACGATGTTTCAAGTTTCATACATCCAACAATGGCCCCTGTGAAATTTGGTGCCTTCAGAGTTGATACAGAGATCAGGGTTAAGGTCGACTGCAGTTGGCCGCAGGCGTAGCCGTGCCATGCATCACATTTCGGCCGAGTTTGCACGTTTCCCCTTCACCTGGACATCCGAAAAGAGGCGCTCCATGCAGCAGGTCCACGCAGAGAAGGCGAATCCCGAAATCTACCGGTCCTTTAGACTGCTTGGGCGAAGCCGTGGATAGCGCATGACAGCGCAGTTACGATATGCGCTTCCCACCACACTCCACCGCTTTCACAGCTGAGCCGCCACCTCCATGTGACAGGGATGTAACCAGGATCTCTGATACAACCAATGAACATACTTTTTTGGCGGGCTCCTTCTTGACGAAAGAAAAATGGCAGCACCCAAACAGTCCCCAAACCATATTCTAATTATTATAACCTATTGTGGATCCCTTCACAGGAGCCCTTTAAAAGGATTAACCCTTTCAGGGAACCCCATTCGAAGATTCTAACTATAAAGGCCCTTCTTCTACACCGTTGAAGGAAGGTCGCCCCACCAGTTTAAGGTGCCACTGAGCGTCCCGAGCCCCAGAAAACAGAACTTGCATCTCCCTGTAGCAATATGAAGTAGGAATCGGTAGTATAATCACATAGTAATATGTTGTGTATATATATATATGTATATATATATATAATAATGATCGTAATGATAAGACTGTCGGGCCCTGCATGTTGCGCCTTCCGATTTGGCAGCGGCAAAAGAAGAACTGCTCGCAGAGAACCAGTCAGGAAAACCGACGTTGCAAGATCAATGGAGCCGCGGAGGGGGGGGGGGGGGCAGGGCGACCAAAAAATGCGCGTTTCTTTTCCGAATGCCGCCAGGCTACCTGATGTTTGTGATGACTTGGCAACCTGAGGCGGCAGTGGTGTTGCCCACATCCCATGTTTCACCAAATATGGATGACGCAAAGATCCGTAGAGTTCCCCTGTTTTTCTGCACTCATTTGCAAAGATAAACAATCGAACATCCTCGAAACCCTAATCCAAATCTTAAGGTCGCGGCATCATTGATGGGATCCCCAGTTCCATGCATGCGATGCAGCTTCGATTGGAGAGTTTCGCAGCAGAGCTACCAGTTGAAAGCATGAGTTTAGCTAAATCATTTGCAGTGTTGGATGAGTGCTGATTGTGTAATCTAAGACTAGTACGCAGACTCCAGGTGAACGGCATGAACTGATGGAGGTCAGAGCTGCTGCGAGCTTGCGAATTCGCAAAGCTAAAGACCGTGATGAAAACCACAGCAAAGCAGTCCAGTCGTTAGGGTTCCTTCTGATAACTATGTTATGATGGTCCCAAAACAGTTTTCTATTTTTGAAGGCCCTTACTTTATGTTGCTGTTGCTGACCTTCCGTCCTAAGCAGCACGCATCACTACTTCTTAGGACATGATGGCAAGCAGGGTTGGGGCTAAGTGATGGTGATTTGCCACACTACCAGGTGAGGTTCGTTCTTGCCACAATCATGCCAATATGGGTCGTGTTCCAATGTGAGGCGTTGGAGGTAAAATGATTGCCATCCAGTTCGGGAGTTTCCAAAGAATGACTGCAACGGGGGAGCTTCCGGAATGAAACTTGGTCAGCATACCAAGTTTACATGGCTCCGTCAGTTGTTTATGAGCAATATTGTATCTTATTAGGACGCATTGGGAGTAGGACATGGTGGTACTGAAGTCTTGTTTATTCCATATGTATTCCAAAATCGAAAACAAATCGATTATTGAAAATCTGTGTTGCGGTTTGGTGATTATGTTTTCAACTGTTGAGCTTGCACAACCGCGATGTTTCTGGTTGTCGGCAGTTCGTTGTTGGTCGAAGTTGTCGAATTGGGATGTGCGAACAGCATGCCAAGCTTGCCAGTGTGTTTGTCGCCGTGGTAATGCGTGCATGTGTTGTGTAAGGTGTCGCACCGTGATCTCGCGCATTTGGTTATTTCGTGGTGTTCGCCGATATTCGGTAGTTTTTCGCATGGCTTCGGCCAAGTCATGCAGCAACCTCAAGATTCTATTCATCGAAAACATCATTAGAGTGAATCTGCCTGATAGCTGGCAACACTTCTACCCGATTCTCATGGCGGTGCTTTCGTCAATGCAGCAGTGGGTTGAGAAGTTGCACAACGCAGTGTACTTGGACCCCAAAAGTATGTAGAATAATTTCTGTTTATAGGTTTGGGCCATTATGTTAACTGGTTTGGGGGGTCTGGGTAGGCACGATACTTGGTGCAAGCTGCTCGTGCCCGAACGAGTCCAGTGCACGTTTTCGGAGCCCGAGTGATCCTTCCAGCCCCAACCCCTGAGATCCTGTGAGCATGGCTGCACGGTTGAGAAGGCAGATTATCATGCGTTGCTTTTGCTGTTGTTGCAGACTTTGACACTTCGTTCAAGTACCTCAACGGCTTTTGTAAGTGCTTTCATGGTTCCTTTACTAAGAGCTCGCATGGTTTCGTCAAGCCGCTAAGTACTCTCATGGTATATCGCGTTGTGCTCGTCACCAGTTTGTTTCAACACGCGTGTTTCGGCGATGTCGGGTGCTCCATGCCAAGCTCGTCTGGAAAGCTATATTGGGTTTAGGGCTTAATGTTTAGGGATTCGCAGATGGTTTCATCGATCACGATGCACATGCAAATATCCGGCAGCCATCCAAACTGCTTGGACTAGATTTTTGGTTTGTTACGTTACCCAACATTGGAGCTGTTGCAGGTCTTATCATCGGAACATGGACGAGCATCAATGCTTCCGTGTATGCACGGACGTTGCTACTTGCACTTGTTGCAACTCTTCCCCTGCGGTTCCTGAGGGGGGTGGGGGGGGGCGGGGCGGGCAGTAAAAACACTGTCGCTTTACTCGACACTCGCTCCCGTGACGCTCAAGATGACTTCAACAGTCATGGGTGTTTGCAGAACAGCATGCATGTTTGCGATGCAAGATGAATTTGCTGGCTTGCACCAATATTTGTCGGTTTCTTTATAGTTGCATTGGGCGTAGACATGGGTAAATCATGGGCACATGTATTCACGCTCGCCTCATTCCATCGCTCCATTGCGGCTCAAATGAGACCTGAATACTTACTTTGGCCTGACCTGGCTTCCCAACAGTCGCAGCGTCCTCAGCAACGGGCAGTTGTTTTTTTGAGAGCGGTTCGTTGAGACTTTCCACGCGGCAGTGCCTGATTTTGTTATCAGTCCCCTATCTCGGGTTGTTTCATGGAAGGAGTTTTCACAGCTACCTTAGAGCCCAAGTGTGAAAAATGCAAAGAATCGAATGCTGTTGATCGCTCTATATTCATGTGTACTGCATGCAGCTTCTGCCATCCAACCCGCTTGGGCGCAAGTTCATGCTGGAAGAAGGCTCCTGTGGAGCAAGCAGAATACCAATAGAAGTGTCTCAAACAAAGGTTCGTCGTTGGAGTTGCGTGGCCTGAGTTCACCGAAGCCTTAGCACGCTGTTTCGAGTTCGAAACCCAATACTGCCACTTGATGGCTTCGTGTCAAAATTCTCAATGCCCGCCGAAATCCTAAATCCGAGCAACTACGAGTACACCCTCAGCGCCTGAACTTTACACCCTAAGCCGTAAAGAAACTTCCATGGCCAGGGGGATGGCGGGCGACACCGTGGAGAAGGTGCTGGGATCTAGGGTTTTTAAGGTCTTCTCGAAGCAGGACCCCCCCCACCCCACGTGCCCTTGAACCGAGCCCTTCTGGTCTGGGAAAGTGGGTGTTTAAGGTGCAGTAGAGGGTACTTTGGGGTTTAGGAAGTCCTTCGCATTTTGAGGGGTTTTACACGCAAGTTGTGCAGGGTTTCAGATATGATTTGGGCAACCCCGGGCTTCATGAGACTGTTCTGGTGAGGTTTTTGCAGGTCGGACGTCGAATGGGCTTCACAGCTTTGTGTTGAGGGCTTAGGGTTTGGGAGTTTGGGGTTAGAGTTTTTTGCTAAGCCGCAACCCTACGATGCCTTACGTTTCCAAGTACCTAAGAATCATAGACTGTCCCGATTACTAGCCTGCTCCTGTACCCGAATACCTGATTGGATCCTTGCGGGAAGTACGCAATCCTCCCAATTTTGCGTTAAGCGCCTTGTTGGCAGGATCCCGAGTTTTGGGCTCTGGAGTTCCAGGGTTAGCAATTTTTGAGGGGGTTCCGATGCTTCAACTGCCTTTCTTTGGAGGTGTTTACCCACAACATGGATTCACTCTCTTGTAGGGTTTTCTCTTGCTTCAAATGGTTTACACGAAATTCAGACGCAGACCTTCGCAGTTCACGTGACGGGCAGTGCGGAGCGCAGGCACGGTGTCAGGTGGAAGCCGAGGCTAGGTTCTGGGATGTCACTGCTTGTCTAACCCGTGGTTTTGGGGCTCCCTGGGCTCTTTAGCTCCTCATTCAATAGGGATTATCATCATCCCTAGCTCCTTAGCTGAGCCTTAGCTCCCCTAATATCAACGGTTAGTTGTGACTGTCAGTTTATCGTTCATATAAGGTTTATGGTTTATGGTTTGTACCGGCATCCCATTGTAATGTCAAAACTGAGCTTATGGGCTGGCATTGCATGGTGTGATTTCCTGAAGCGTCGGTGCAGCCTGTCGCAACTTAGTCAAGTCTAAACAGAAGCTGTTACAAATGCACGTTTCAATTCACGGTGGCGTTCCATTCAAGACGGGTCTGACCGCCGACAAAACTTCCAAAAACTTCTCGCACATGACATGAACCATTTTGCGTTTCGTTCCCGAATAGACTCGACCCGATTCTGCATGCCTTTGCCGGCGATAGTCCGTAGCCCTGACCCACACCTCAAAGCCCACTTAGGCCGCACACCCAAAGCACTTATTCTTCGACCCGGCATCCTAAACTCCGACCCAGTATCCGGACAGGTCCCAGAGAAGGACCAGGAGAAGGAGCCCAAAGAGAAAGAGCCCAAAGACAAGGAGCCCAAGGAACAGGAGGTCGTCGAAAAGACAGAGGCGTCCATGGTGCAGTGGATGCCCAAACATAGAAACCTTCAGGATTCAAGGCTTGAATCTTGAAGTTTTAGTGTTAGTTTTGGGGTTCGGTTGTTGTTTTCCTAGCGTTTGCCAGAGGGATGTTTTTAACTAACCTCAGCCACTGCCCTAGCCACAAGCTTTCAAAGCTAAAAAATGTTATTCATTATGCGTTGGGCGGTTGTTTGACTGTAGGTCTTGGAGACCCCTGAAGCCCCAAACCCCGAAACCTCCATAAAGAACCCTAAGCCCCTAACCTTAAACCCTAAATCCTTTGCGGGGTTCTGAAGGGCTCACTCGTTAAGGGTAGTATGATTGGGGTTGGAAGAGAGTTTTGGAAAGCTTCGTGTTTGTATGACCTCCAACAAGGGACTGTATGTAATTCTGCTAGTGCTTGTCCAGCCCCCCCCGTGAAAATAAATCATCGAAATCTTTCGACATAGGACCCTAGAGTTAATTGATGTAGACCCCGAAGCAAGAGGATCCCCACCCTAGAAGGGATTGCAATAGGTATGCTTATGCTGAAGCCCGTCAAAAATCAAGTCCATGCATCAGATGCCTGCATGACAACCCTAAACCCTAAACCCTAAAACGTTACCATAGACGTGTACAAAGGGAAAACAAACTGTCACAACGCTGTTGAAGTTTCCGGGATCTATGGTTCTCACCGCGGCAGCTCTCATTCCGAGTTCACGGGACTCCCACCTCAAGAAGTAGTCTTGTTGTATTCAGACGGCAACTTTTAGAGTGTCTGACCCCCAAAATCCAAAAAGTAGGTCATTGCACTCGCAGGTTCAATCCAGCAAGCTCAAGAACCCCAGACTCATTGGACCGGAATCGTGGCTCCAGGAACAGATTATGAATGATTATGACGTATTATAGATTGTCTTTGCATTTTGTACCAGCGACCCTGCACCGACCACTGGGCCCCTAGGTTTGCTGTCAAGGGGTTCTTGGATTTTTCTGGCCGAGTTTTTTGGTTTCATCCGATGTTTTGAGGCGCTGAGTGCATCGAATGGTGCTGTAAGGTTGTTGGGTTTGATTTCAGGTGCTTCGGGTTTGCGTGGACCCCAAAACTATGTAGAATAATGGCCTTCTGTAGGTGTCGGGCCATTGTTTTACCTAGGTTTGGGGGTTGTGGTAGGGTACAAGAGTACAGCTTCCATCCATCCCTCGCAAGCGAGCGTCGATGCCTTGTAACCTCCGTGAACTACTTGGAGGTTCATGGGTAGTCAGAAGTGGCGTTATAAGTAGGGTAACTATCATTATAACCCCTATTAGGGGACCTATTAACCCCAGTTATAACTACCCATGAACCTCCAAGTACTCACTTGCCGCAGGGCAAGAGCGCAGACGGAGCTGAGGCACCTTTGCGAAACTCCATGTTTGCATTCCTTTGGGGCCATGTGACATTACATTTGTATGTGTGTGTATATATATATAGAGAGAGAGAGAGAGATACATATAGGGTTTGGGGGTTCAGGGTTGCTTTGAGTACAAAGCGTCAGAACTATAAGCCATCCACACCTTGATTGGGGTAGTCTTGTAGTTCATGGCATCCCTTAAGTGCCGGACCCTCGAGGCTTGAAACAGCCCCTATTGAGGGTTTCATGTGACACGTGATAACACACAAGAACCATTCATTTAAGTTTTAAAGAAAGTATGAATAAAAGTATGAGTACAGGTATGAATATGGTTAAGATAGCCCCCGCCTGATCATGCAATGAAAATCACAAGCAAAAACATGGAAGGAGAATCAGCACCAGATCCCATGACCGACCCAAGGAATGCGAGAAGCACCAGAAGACAAAACCACCACGGAACAAACAGAACAAAAATGAGGCCTTTAAACCCTTGGCGTTTCTGTATTTGTTGTTCTGTTTTGTGGACCTCCCTCTCTCTCTACATATACATATACATATACATATACATATACATTAGAAGCTGCCCCCACCCTGTAATAGTGACTATAAGGATTATATTAGGGCCCTGTTATATTCCTATTATACCACTATTACAGGGTGGGGGCCCCTTCTAACATATACATATACATGTACATATACATATATATACATATACATGAACATATACATATACAAATACATATGCATATACATATACATATACATATACATATATATATATATATATATGCATATACATCTACATCTACATCTACATATACATATACATATACATATACATGTACATGTACATGTACATGTACATGTACATATACATATACATATGCATATACATATACATAAATATATGCATATACATCTACATCTACATCTTTCATCTACATATACATATACATATACATAGACAGATACATACATACATGTATATTTATATACATGTATGTATACATATACATATACATATACATATACATATACATATACATATACATATACATATACATATACATATACATATACATATACATATACATATACATATATGTATATGTATATGTATATGTACATGTACATGTACATGTACATGTACATGTACATGTACATGTACATATACATATACATATACAGATACAGATACAGATACATATACATATACCTATACAGATACATATACATATACATATACATATACAGATACATACATACATATATATTTATATACACATAGTTGTATATATACAGACACACACACCCTAAAACCTAAACCCGAAAGGCCACAAAGCATGGCAGCCAGGCCAAGCCGAAGCCCCAAGAGGCATCGCCTGCCACCTTGCTTGCCTTGGCGCCTTGGCACTGAGACCTTAAAGGGATCTATAGGGGTTCCTTAAAGGGATCTATAAGGGTTCCTTAGAGGGATCTATAAAGGTTCTTTAAAGGGCCTTGGCACTGAGACGACGTTTTAGGGTTTCGGGGTTCAGGATCTAGGGTTGTGGGGTTTAGGGTTTTTGTGGTTTTGGGCCTAATGGTGTTTTGGGGTTTGGGGTTTACGGCTTGGGTAGTTGCGGAGTCTATGTTCGGGTCCGTGTGATTCGCTGTCCTTCATAAGGTTCATCGTGTAAGGCTTTTTGGGGTTCTGCAGCACGTCATTTTCTTTTTGGAGGGTGCCCCGTGTTTTGACGTCTTTGCGTATGTGACATTGGAAAGCATGTGCCGGTCACAGATGCTGGGTAATGACATCCAGAACTTTATGATCCATTACAGACTGAATCCTGAAGGCACGTGGCGCTCAATCAAGCAAGTGAGCACTACGCGAATGATTCTAGAGGATACCCAGATGCCCCATAGTAGTTCGTTTTTGGGGTTCGTATATAGAATCCGAACAGGTAATCCCGAGAAGGAATTATATGGGGCTTCTGGGGAGAGATTACGGATAGGATCCTGGTCTGTAGACTTGAGGTGTATAGGCGTTAAGGTGGTAATACAGCAATGCATTTATCCTCTTCAAGTGTCCAGATGTATGGGGCTAGGTCAGGGTGATTGGGAGATACTATAGGGCTCTAAGAAGTTGGCAATACTATTTTGGGGGTTCCTCATGATACATATGGTATAATGGCCCCCAGAACCCTATTCTACTTATTCTAGGAAGTTACCCAATACCAAAAGAGAGGCCTTTCTATTCTTAGGTTAGAGGGAATCCTAGTATTAAAAGAGACTCGAAAATACACGCCGCCAGGGCGTACCATACTGTATTAAAAGGCCCCTATATTACTAGCCCGGATCCTTTCTCAGCTAGGTCGCAGGATGCCTTGCAATCGCAACAGTGTCAGCTGTGGTGTCGCCCCTCGGCGGATAAGATCTATACGATCCCTATAGACCACGAACCCTAAACAAAGTTGTTCGAACCTGGATCCTCGACTGCTTGTCTAGTTGTGAGTGCTGAAACAAAGTTGTAAAGTGTGGTGTCAGGGGTTTCAAGCGATTGCACCTTAAACCTTGGTTACCTTTTGTCTACAGCCCCAAGCCGTAGAACCCCGTAGGTAATGCCCCCCACCCCCTAACTGTGGGGTCCATAAAAGCCCCTGAGTGGCAAACATGAGCTTACGGTTACTTGAAGCGCCTTCGCATTTTCCTTTTGATGAACGTTGATCCCGACGACTCGTTGTCTCGGACTAGAAGGCGAGAAGAGAACCTTGAGCCTTGGTACCTGTACTCCAAATCCTCAGACCACAAGCCCAACACACCCCGGCCCGATCATACAAATGAATAACTCACCTGCGAACACGCACACCAACACAAACACATGAGCTCCCGCCGCATCCACTTCTTCAGAAGCTTCGAGGTGAAGTTGTACAGGGCGATACAGGGATGTCGGTAAGGTTGCGATCTGGGGGCCTTAGTAGATCTGAGAGGTGCGGAGTTTGAGCTGCCCTTGGTTCAGGACCTTCCGGGCTTTAGGGATTCGGGCTATGGACCGCAGGGCCTTGGGAGCTATACATCATGGCCTGAGAAGAGGGGATGTGCCGACACCCAAGTACGGTGTATACTAGCGGCAATGAAGATGCATCTCCACGAATCTAAGAATACCGAGACTGACAGGGACCCCCGAAAATAGGTAAAGTTATGGCCCAAAACCTACAAAGGGCCGTTCTTCTACATCCTTATGGGGTCCAGGTATTGGTAACAGTTGTTTTGTGGTTTTGAGTTGCATGTGTTAGAAGCTGCCCCCACCCTGTAAAAGTGACTATAAGGGTTATATTAGGGCCCTATTATATTCCTATTATACCACTATTACAGGGTGGGGGCCCCCTTCTACCCAGGCGCCCCAAACTAGTTCCTTTTTGGGTGTGTCCTCTTTTTTGGTTAGGGACTTTAATATACTACCTAAAAAGGAACTACTTTGGGGCCCCTGAGTAATGCATGTGTCATTCATCTCGGAGCCGCGGCGACCTTTGTGGCCGAATGGCCTTGAATCCAAGGGTTTCAGTACCAGCCTTGTCCCTTTTCATGGTTCCCCCCCAAAGAATAAACAGACCGGCTAGTAGACCTTCTTAAATAATTCTTACTAAGGGATATAGGTATAGGGCTCTGTCTATTATCTCTAAAAGGACAAGGGTGTTCAGTATTACCTGGACCCCAAAAGCCTTGGCCTCGTAGGAATCGGGATTTACATAGGGTTTTGGGTTTAAGGCTACCTGGACCCGCAAAGTATGTGTAATAATAGCGTTTTACAGGTCTGGGGCCAGTTTTGGGCCATTGATTTACCTGCTTTCGGGGGTTTGGGTTTGCTTGCCCGGAGCCCACACCTCAGGCAAAGCGACGTGATGAATGGTGGGAGCCTAATCCGTTGGTACGCCCGGGCACCCAGACGTTGCACCACTGAAGAGTCAATGCTCTTATAACAGAATTCCCTGAAGCCTCGAACCCCGAAAAAAATTAAACCTGTCAAACTCACAAGCATGTTGGCGTTTGCTAGGTTCACTCCTTTGCGACATACGTTTGCAAGCATGTGGTCTGCCTCTTCGTTCATAAAATCTTGGGGAAGTCCTCTCTTCCGGAATGATGTTGGGCTCAGAAGAGAAAAAGCATCCTAAACTCGATGTCTTACCTAAACTTTAAATCCTCAAAAGTAGGTAACATAATGGCCCAAAGCCCATAAAAGGCTATTATTCTACATACTTTTGGGTTCCAGGTAAACCCATCCTTGCAGCCAACACCTCGACTCCAGAGCTTCTTACAACACATGGACATGGAATGCAATACAGGGCTTAGGCTTTTAGGGTATGTAATTAGGGCTCATCAATCCAAGGGTAAAAGGAGGGACCCTTAATCAGGACCCCTAGGTATATACTCTCAACATAGCTATTATATACCCATTATATAGCCCATGATAGAGTAGGGGTCCGCATTAAGAGTTCCTCCTTTTCCCCTTTGAATCAAGAAGAGCAGGGCTTAGGCTTAGAGGGTATAGAGGCTTATCAAGATCGGTCTTATTAAGAGCCGTTGCAAGACGGGCGATCGCAACAGCAAATACTGGCAATGCACCAGAAAATCTTTAGTAGGGATGGAAGTGTCGGTGCTGGTTTACATATTACGTTCTTTTATTGCCCTGAGTTTGGGTTTCGAGGGTTCAGTCCTGAACCCTAAACCCTAGACCCCTAAACCCCAATCTAAATCCCTAAACCCCAAACCCCCTAAACCCAAACCGGTTTTAGGGCTCAATCCTGAACCTGATGGCCTCAAGTTGGATGCCCCTGGACCTGAAACCATGAACCCGGCACCCTAAACCTTCCACACTTTACCCATAGGCCCCATAGTAGTTCCTTGTTGGGGTTAATATTTAGAATCCTATGAGGTAATCCCAAAAAGGAACTACTATGGTGCCTTAGGGTATCGCCAATCATCAATGCACGCATTCCGAGCCGAAACAGAAGCCAATGTCCCGAGCCATAGCATCAAAATTAATCAGCTCTAAACCTTGCACAAACCCTAGGAGAGATGTTCAACGGGGGATTTGGGTTCGGGCCCTGCGGTTTCCGGCTGAACCCCCAAGGTAAAGTTTAGGGTTGTGGAGTTGAGAGTTGGGATCATTGGGGTGTTTCGGGTGCAGGCTTCATGGTGTATTGGAGATGCGTCTCACAAACTAAGCCCGGATCCCTCAGACTACATAGGACCCTTTGGGTTAATCCAAAACCTAAACCTCCAACATCACGCCCCTGTCCCTTCAACCCCAAGCGCCAAGCCCATGAGCTCCTCCCCACACCGTCCTACTGTTCAGGACTCTCTTTGGGTTGAGCACATCGTCCCTGCGCCGTCCGCCCCAAAGAACGCCAGCGCCCAAACCGGGGTTCCGTTGAAGGGTTTCGGATTTTGGGATTGGGTTGTTTACGCGGCATCATAGGCGAAGAAGAGTTGCTTGTTCGACATATCGGGGCTAACGGACCAGGTGCTCGTTTGTCAGGGGCTATTACTCAAGATATGCACCCATTGAAGCGTATGTGACTCTGACTGTAAACGTGTTAATTACATATGGGTCAGATGTCAGGTCACCACTTCCTAACCCCGCCCGCTACCTGGACCCCAAGAGTATGTAGGATAATAGCTTTTTAAGCGGTTGGGCCCTTTTGTATCTAGTTTTGAGGGTCTAAGGAACTCCTACCAGGACCCCCCAAGCCCCCAAGTGCCCCTGAATAGAGCCCTTATGGTCCTTAATAGTGGGTATTGGGGGCTGTTTGGGGTGAAAACCCCCAAACCCCTGAACCCCTAGACCCTAAACTCCGAAGCCGCAAACCCCTAAACCCTTAACCTCTACCTAGACCCCCCAAAAGTAGGTAAAATAATGGCCCAAACTTTATAGAAGGCTAGTATTCTACATACTATGAGGGTCCAGGTAAAGCCTAAATCCTAAACCGTCCCGGGTAAGATTCGGAGCACCCGTTAGTTCACCGACACTCGCCGGTGCAATTCGTGTGCATTTCTGGGCTTTGGGAAATTGTCATGGCGTTTTTGTGCTATGTGTTTATTATACCCGTTTCAACCTGATATCGAAGTTGCGCGGACCTTACAAGACAGAAGGTTTTGTTATCTCTCAAAAAGGGTTTGATCGGCTTGAGGATTGCGGTTGGCGCTTTTTCGCTAGCAGTGTATGGTATGTTTCATGCCCTGAAGCCGGCGGCAAAGTCGATTCAGTGCCGTGCTGCTGGCACGGGAAGATCTTGATGCAGGACCCTACCTAAACCATAAAACTGCCCTAAGCACGGACCATAAACCCCGAACCCTGGAGTCGAAACCCATCGGAATGAACACAACGAGATTTCCATCTCCTTGAGGTCTCGAGTGACATGCAGGGTTGTGCATACCGATGTGGTGTAGGGTTTAGGGGTCTACAGTTTGCGTGTGCGTATTTGTATACGGACTCTCACTCCCGCTCCCGACATCGCTAAAGCCTTAAACCTACTGGTATAAACCATAAACCCTACTTGCAGGTTCATGGGCAGTTATAAGTAGGGTTAAACGGTTAAACCTACGAGGGCTTATAACCATAGTTACCCTACTTACAGCCCATGAACATCCAAGTACCCCTAAACCCTCCAAACCCCAAACCCTAGCCCCTAAAGCCTCTTCACCTAACTCCGAAAGCCGATGCGAGGTTTGCACCATCCAGTTTTGCCAGAGCTGAGGCTGGCTGGGGGCCGGTTGTTATTGTAGGGGTTTACTCGGACCCCAAAGCATGTCGTAGAAGCTTTTGGGACGCTATGTGACCTACATCTGGGGTCTGTAGAATAACAGCGTTTTATAGGTTTGGGCCAATATTTCGCTTACATTTGGGGTACAGGCAGGGTTTAGGGACGGTTCGCTTGAAGCATTTCATCAAGTCGGTGAAACACTGACTTTTCAAGTTACAATGCAAAGGCCGTCCCCCCTTCCAGTTTAAACCCCTCAGTGCAAGCAGGTTTCGGAGTTGTTCATGGGGTTGCTAGTGCTTGGGCTGCTTGGGCTAAAGTACGAAATCTCCTATGGTGTTTATGGGTGGTATCGCCCCCGCTGTCCCTTCCAAGTGGTCGTTCTGTTCGCCCTTCCGGGTCTCCAGACCCAAGTTATCGCAGCCCGCCGGAAAGATCTTTGAGGTCGTTAAGTAGAAGCCCAAAAGTTGGAAACCCAATAGCCTCAATCCTTAAGAGTCATACATAGGGAATCCCAGCACTATTTGGCCTTAATCCGGTTTCCAACTTTATGGGGTTTACTGCAAGTCCGTCTGTGTATTTTAAGTGTAACCCCCCAGTACAAGCAGGCAGGCCCTTGTACTCAAATTTAAACAAGACCCGGGAGCCGTCTTCACCCGAAGCCCACGACCGGGGTGTGCATTTGCTTTGCGGGCATTGAGGTGGCTTGCGAGATTCGCACTTTGCTGTGTGTTGGTTGGGTTCCATCGCACCTCACCGACAATCGGCACCGCAGACCTTGCATCAGGCACAAACGGGCTATTCAACCAGCAACCTGGCAGCAGGAGAGCAGTCGATGTGTTCGGCACCTATGTCAACAAAAAGCCTGGGTGCAGACATCCAACGTGAGCAGACATCAATCCTCAGTCCACGAAACTTCAGATTCGGATACTTGCACCTTTCCCAGATGTTTGGGGGGAGTACCCATAGGCTCCATAGTAGTTCCTTTTTGGGGTGACCTTGCAGGATCCTAAATGCGAGCCACAAAAGGAACTACCATGGAGCCTATGGGTAGTCCTTTTAACCACGATGCGGAGCCGCAAGGCCCGAAGTTGTTTGTGCTAGAGCGGGCCTCACGCGGTTTGGGGCGAGGGATGGCTCGGAATGCGGTGTTCACTAGTAGGAATCTTGGGGTTTGGGGCTTTTGGTTCGGGGGCGAACCGGAACCTCTAGACTCTGAACCGCACACCGCAAGCCCTGAGCCCCATAAACCTTGGACCCTGCAGCCTTCAGCCAAGGATAGCCCAGCTGATCCAAAGCCGCGCGTCGGTACCTCTGAATGTGCATCCCGCTGGCTACCCCGCCCCACCCCTCGCCCAGTTCTATGCGAACATTGCAACTTGGCTTCAGGCAGCCTGGAGTTACCTTCACCCACAGTTTTATGGCTCCTTTTCTGATTCCCTTTTTTTGTTTTAAAAATCCTCAAGAGGTTAAGGTAGAGTTTACAGTCCAGGGTTCAGCGTTGATATAGGGTTTAAGGCAGTTTAAGCTTGGTTTGGGGTGATTGGTCCGTTTCAGCTTTAGCCCGGCATGCTCTTCATGTTGCATGCTTGCCCCTCATGGAGACCCAAGATCTATGGCCACGGAGAATTCGTCATGCCGTTCCTCACAGCTTTCTCACGCACGCCAACATTAGGATGTCAGACCTGCCAAAACTCCTTGTATTTCCCCAAAGCAGCATTAAGAAAGGGGCCCTAATAAATACCAATATTGTGTTGGGGGCTCCTTATTAGAAGTATAGTATAATGGGCCACAAAACCATATTCTAATTGTTAAGGCTCCTATGTTATTTAGTCGGATACCAGATGCAATCAGGAAGTGCAAGTAGAGGTCTCATTACAATAACACAGTAAAGGTTCAGGAACCGCCCGGAAATACCAGTACATGTTCCAGTGCGATGACAACGTAGACGCAGAGGCAGACGGAGCAAACACATGCGAGATTGCGATTGGGTTTTGTCTGGTGCTTTCTAGGATCATGATGTTCTCCGTTAGTTTTTTGTTCCACCTCAGTCCTAGGACCAGAATATTCCTTATTTTTTAAAAATTTATCCACAGTCCCTTTGTGTATTTTTCCACAGTCGCAAAGCCAAGGTTAGCATCATGCAGATTCTCCTCATAGGCCTGCGAAGAGACTGCTATCCATGTGATTCGTTCACGGTCACGGTTTGATGATGTGCTGGCTTGGAATTTCTCCCTAACGGATGCTCTGCTGCAGAAGTATCGAAGATTCTTACTTGTTCAGTCGATGAGTTTTGGTCGCAAGCTCGAGCCAAGCATTTGTGTTTGTCATCATCGGTCGCTCAAGGTGCACCGTGAAAGCTGTCAGCAGAGCCGCATGCTTTGTGCCAGGTCATGGTAAGCGCCTCATTGGTGCATAATTGGGTCGTCGTTTTGAAACAACGTGTTGGCATCATGCACAGTTCCTTAGTTTGGGTGTATGCGTGTGTGTTGCTGAAGGTGCGGTATCTTGGGGGTTCGGGCGGGGTAGCAGATATCGGAACACTTCCTGGTTCACGGGCTAATATCCACGGCGCTGAGAATCCCAATTTTCGACTAGAACTACAATCGTTCAGAAACACGGTCGGAACACGCACAATTTCGGAGGTCGCAAAGTCCCAGACTCCAGCAAGATCTGCCCAATTGAACACATTTACGTCCCAGGGTGCAGTAGTACGGATCTTTTATGATCATATTGTTGGATGTGTCTTCATGCTACACGAAAGCTCATTAGACAGACCCTCAAAACAAAACGTACCTTCGGGTCGTCTTGGGGCTTGAGTATTTTGGGTTGTAGGATCTGCCTCCGAGGTAGCGTTTCACTGGCAATTTCTCGCACGGTGCCATTGCAAGGAAACTCCTGACATGTCGGTAGTTGCCTATTGCATTCCTGCACTAGACACCCTTGGAATTCTTAATGCAAAAGCTTTGCCCCAGGATTTTTTGCATGCAATTATCCTCATGCTAAATACTGCATAGCCATCCCTACCTGTAGCCGAAAAGGCCTACCATTTTAGGGTTCCTTATTATGGTTTCTATATATAGCTCCTTGAAAAGGTAGGTCTTTTCGGCTAGAGGTAAGCCCTAAACGGCCGCGGTCACTCGTTTGAACAAAAACCTACACACCCGAAACCCTCTCGAATTCAGAGGCCCGATCCTCGGAAGATCATCCTGACTCAGGGTTCCCATATGCCAATTTTAAGGCTTAAGATTTAAGATTTAGGTTTTAGGGTTTAGGTTCCAGGATTTAAAGTCTAGTGTTTAGGACTTGGGGTTTAGAGTTTAGGGCTTCCTGTGTGGAGGCATGCTCCTGCTTGTGGGTGACGCTCTACCCGAAGCAGCTCCGGGCTTACCATGTGTCGTTCTGACAATCGCGGGGCCCTTTTCGCCGATATGGGAGCTACTGAAAATTAGGGGTACCTTCTTCTAGGGTCCTTCTATTAAGGATCCTACTATTTAGGGTGTTATATTACGGTCCCCTATTTTCCGAAACTCCCATATCTCAAGTTTCGTGTGTTCTGTGTACCATCCGAATTCAAAAGGGAATTTTCATGCCTAGTCCCGTGCACAAGCACATTCGCTCGCCCTTTCAAGAAGGCTCGTGGCTGGATAGTGACGGCATGAGGTGGCAATCCCAATACACGGTGCCATGTTGGATGGCACCACAGCTTGAAAGTACTTTGCACAAAAGATGCGGCTGTTGCCACAGAGGCCCTATCACGTTTTTCAGGGAAGTCAGCGGTTGAGGGTTTCAATTCCAGGTCTCGGGTCTACCAGCGTGATTGGACCTTGGTAGGTATTCGAGCACAACGGAGCATACAACAACCCAGGACACAGAAGTCCAGACCGCGTGAGACAGAGCACAAAATAGCCAACAACAACCCCGGACACGGGAACCCGACCGCCTTTGACAGAGCGCAAAGGAGCAAACGACAATACAACACCACGAGACAGAGCACAAAGAGCGAACAACAACTAACTCAGGACTCCGGAGATCGACCGCATGAGGCAGAGCAGAAAGGAGCGAACAACGATCGCATGGACGGCATGAGACAGGGCAACCACCTTCCCAGGACACAGGAGTCAAACCGCAAGAGACAAAGCACAAAAGAGCAAACAACAAGCGACAGCATAAACCAGAGCACAAAAGAATGAACAACAAACCAGCACCCAGGAGTCGCAGCACGTGAGACGGGGCACAGAGGAGCCAAACATCAACACAGGACAGACCCAGAGAACCCAATACCCCTTAATCATGGAATATACCTTAAATTATGGGGGCCTTGATATTATGATTTAAGGTATATTCCTTAATTAAGGGGTAATGTTGACCCCTGATTAATAAACCCCCCCCCCCCCCCCCCCCCCCCCCCTCAAGGTTGTCAAGGTCGCAGGCCCCCCACAGGATCACAGACCCCCAAATAATCCCGTGAAGCCAAATTGCAGTAGACAGTGGTGCTAGTAGTAGTAGTCGTAGTAGCAGCAGTAGTAGCAGTGGCAGTAGCAATAGCAGTAGCCCTTGAAAGAACCGCTTGAAAGAGGACAAGACGCCCTTTAAATGTAGTCTTGCCCCCTTTAAAAGTAGTCTTCGAAGCACTTTTTGAAATTTTGGATCCCCAGACGGTGTTGCGTTTAATCGTGGGGGGTTTTCTGCAAAAAACGATCCTTATTTGGGTGCTGCCTTTAAAGTAGTACAGATTGGGGCCGGAGCCGCCCGCAGGCCGCCTTTAATCGTAGGGGGATTATTAATCCTAGGTCAACATTATTGGGCTCTCTGGGGAGTAGTCTGGCCGCATGAGATTCAGTCTCTTTCTGCTGCGCAAGTATTCACAAGTTATTTGGTAAACCAGGAAATCCAAGAACAACCGAGGCCGAATGTTATTGCTTCTCCTGCCTTCACTCACGCAATCGCTACTTCCCAAGCAATCCCGCTGATCGTTCGAGTTTGGCCACTCTTA